ATATATATATATATACATTCAGTGAAAACATCAACATGTATATAGAGATGATCATTGTAAAACAGGAAAATTTTTGAAAAATTGGCTGAACAAATGCTGATGCTTAATCGGCATTACGGAAATCGGTATCATGGCCACTAAAATAGTCTAAACGTTTGGGTACATGAAGTCGTTCTGCAAAAAAAAAACAAAGAACAAAAACAAAGAGTAATGTAACTTTAAATTCTTTAACCAAACCCATATCAAACAGAAGACTTATCAACAACAGTTTCAACAACACCCAAAAGGCTACCCCCAGAATAAATCAAAAGTTTTGTTGTTGATCTGTTGAAACGAAAAAAACGAAAGAAGGAAGGAAGGAAGGAAGGAAAAATGTAGAAAAACATGTTTCCCTAAAATGTCATATCAAATACCTACCATATCTATTTGTATTGCCAGTAATTGGCCGTTGACCTGGTGTAATCAATTTTTCAGCATTCAAATATTGAAAATTGCTTGGGTTTGTCTTCGAAAATAAACTTTTTGTCGAAAAACTAGATGCACCTTTCAGAAAATCATCTGTAAATACTTTATCAAAAGCAAAAATAGTTCAGTAAAAAAATGGTATAAAACCGGCATTTACAGTTTTTCATTTAAACATTAGATCTTTTTTTTTTTACATCAAATAAAGTAGAAGTTTTTACCGTATAACTGTATAAATCTTACTCGGGTATCGATGATTTTGCATACCATTATACGATAATGTATCACCAAAAATTCCTCGACCACCACCACCGCCACCACCACCGCCAATAGCACCAATACCACCAATATTACTGTTTCCACCAAATCGATTTAGCGGATTTGTTATACTGCTTTGTGAAATTGGCATTGGAGCTGAATGAAATCCATCTGAAGGCAAAATTGGAGATTTATTTTCTTCCCGTGTTCCAGAAACTGATGGATTTGCCAGTAATCGATCAAGACTGCTGTCACGGTCGACGGTGCTGTCAAGCAGTGACGGTAACCCCAAATGTGCAGCTAATGCTCTATGCTAAAATATGTTAATTTTAAATAAGACAGCTAAAGTTCCGAAAAAAAAAAAAAAGAAATAAAATATATACTCGATTTGTTTCAACAGCTGCATTTTTTGTATATGCTTCAATATCAGAATGAGTTGGACGATATCCTTCTGGAAAGATGTTTGTTGGAAACCCAAAAGATTGTTGCTGTATTGATGACGTATAATCAGGGTAATGATTTGCGGGTAAAATCATGGCTGTAAATTAATGAAATAAAAGTGTTCCTCTGTGTGGAAATGGAAGTGTAGAATTCAAGTTCTGGTACACTGATAAAAGTTTTTTTTTCCTTGATTAAGAACAAAAAAAAATTTGCTCAGAAGAAAAATATTGTTTTAAGGAGTGAATCATATAGGAACAAGGAATCTGGTTATTAATTCAAGAACAACAACAACAACAACGAATACTTTTCTTTTTTTTTTTTTTTTGATTATTGATGATCATAAATGAACGATTTGTACATTTGACTGATCAAGTTGTACATTGATGAACACTGATGATAAGAGAATAAATAATTTTACCGGCTCCATATTGTTCATTTGGTAGATTGTTGTAACCAGTTGTCCAAAGATTTGGACGTGTTGAACTGTATCGTTTAGTTCGAAAAATTTTTTCTTCACCATAGACAACAGTAATGGTCAGTATAATTTGCAAAAACCATTGCTTATGCATTCCAATTTGATGTCAAAAACTATAAATCAGATATGACAGGTAAAAACTGAAGTGAAGAACATCAGCAGTTAGGATAAGGATAAAAAATTGACTGACCAATTTATGGTCAGTTTTTATGGTCTGTTCGTTTTGTCAATTCGTTTTTGTTAATTTGCAACTGTACAACAGTTTCAACTCTGAAAAAAAATAGAAAAAACAAGAAAAAAGGAAGAAAAAAAAAAGAGGGAAAGGGAGTGAGAAAGACTTAAATTCTGTTTGAAAAGAATAAAAAAATAGTTTTTCTTTTTCGGTTGGAATATTTAAGCCGTCTTTAAAATAATCCAAAAAAAAAAACTATTTACGGGAAGAAAAATTTTGGTATTTTCTTCGAAAAAAAAAAAAAA